GGTTTTTTAAGAATGGAAGTAACTAACATAGTTTGCTGAATGTTTCAGGTTACCATCGCGGGATTTGCCACACCACCCACCACACATCGAACATAATTTTTCCTAAAAATAAATCGAGTATTAACAAAATTTCATTTTAAATTGTATTTCATTTAAAAGACAGAAAATATTTTAAAATCATGATAGAGTACAATACTGAACTCCCACTCCAATATCATATTATTTTTATATCATCCATTTCATCTTTTCCGTTCATCTTTTCATTTCATTCGTAGAAACTAATTATGTTATAATGTTTTTTAATATCTCTTATATTTTTCTAGGTACCAATGGTAAGATTTAATCAATAATCGTTGAAACTTAATTTTCATTTTATTTTGTTTCAGAATATGATTAATTCCAATGCATTTGTAAGTATTGGATTTTGATCTAAAAAAGGAATATGCTTTCGATGCATTCATTGCATCTTTACAATTCTAAATTAATCTTTTCTTTTTCTTTTTTCAGGTTCGTTTCCATTTTTTTTTTCAATGGGTAGCGGATAGATTCTTTCTTTGCGAAGAAAGGTTCGATTCATTGTTTTCTCCTATTTCCATTGATTGAGAGAAATCATGTCCTTACCAAGAATTCCACCCACACCAAACGATCCTATTTTTAATATTTTGTTGGCAGGATGAATTATGTTGACGATGCAACACTCCGTCTAAGAGAAGGGAGAAACGAATCAAAAGAGGACTGAGTTATGGTAAATGGTAGTATGACATAATTATTGTTACAGGTACTATGGAACAGCACAAAATCACGGAAAGTTCTATCTTAAAAATCTTATTTTTTCTCTAGTTTTCTTTAGCAAGATAAACCATGGTGACGATGCAAAATTCCGTTCAAGAAGAGGAGGAAGTGGACTAGAAAAACACTGGAGTAATTGTAGACGGTAATATAAAATAATTATTTCAAAAAGTAATTGAAGTATTTTAATCCGTTCATTGTTTCCCTCGTAGCATTGCACATTTATAATAGTTATTTTTAATGCATTTTCTTTTTTTTTTTTACATGTACCATTGATCATCCAAAAATTATATACATCTATTTTTATTGTATTATATTTTAGGTAGATTGCAAAATTATTATATTGAAAATATTCATAATTTGTAATCTCCGTATGTGTATATATTGCAATTATACTAGAGTATGTTACTTTTCAGTACAATCACCGATGTTACTTCAATTCTATTTAGATGCTCTCATCGTTATTAATTTTGTTATTTAATATTCAAACTTTCCTCTGTATTCTCGTTTATTGTTTTAATGTTTTTTAGGTGAAACTCTTAGGGTGGGGCCTAAGAGTAAGGTTCCTTAGTTATAATAAAGGATAGTATAAGGTAATTATTTGTATAATTAATTGTGTATAATTTTTATCTGTTCATTGTTCTTCCCGTAGAATCGCACACGTGTGATCATTATTTTTAATGTATTTTATTTGCTCATAGGTTTCATGGAACAATCCCATAATTGCATAATTTTTGTATTGTTTTACTTTATTTTATGTAGATTGAAAATTATTATGTATTAAATATTCATTAGTTGTAATCTCCATATGTATATTTATCGAAATTATATTACAGTGGGTTAGTTTTCAATAAAACCATCGATGTTACTTGCAATTTATTCAGATGCACTCCTCGTTTTCTGTTGGTGTTTAATACTCAAACATTTCTCTCTATTCTCGTTTACTATTTTAATGGTTTTTAGGTGAAACTCTTAGGGTGGGGCTTCAGAGTGGGGATCATTAAAAAGCGTTCCGGGATGATTATTTTCTTTGGTTTCAATTTAATTCGGATGTGGACATCTTCAGGATGCACATTCCGGGTCTTCGGAAGCGGTTACCTCCTCGTGGTTAGACCTGGGCAATGGTATTTTACTTTCAGTATAATGTTTAACATATTTTATATGTTATACATTCCATTGCAAGTAAAATCYAGCYAAAGACCGCTTACCATAAACATTATAATTGTAATTAGTTTCTTCCAAATCCCTAATTAATATCATATACCTTTACTCCTTTTTTTCCTTGGTTCCTTTTATCCATTTAAACACAGAAACTTATTACTTTATAATGTGTAAAACTTAAAAGTATTTCATAATAATTAATAGATAATATTTTTTGTAATAACTTAATATTTGTACTTTTCCTATTTCTTTATTTTTATATATATTATGTAAATGTAAAATCACGCGTTTAAATTTAATTTCATTACAACGGTAAATAGAGATTTGATAAAAATAAATAAAAAATTCAGTTGAAAAGTGCATCTTTGCGAACTGGACGATTTGTATGTTAGGCTATTGTATCATTTGATAGTATGATTAATATAATTTTCTTTTTATTACAGGTGATCATTGTTGGATTTATCATCTACTCGTTTTGATTTTCTTCTACTTTTTAAAATATATATGTATAAAAAACGCATTTCTGAAGGCACACACGTATTTAGACACTAAAAATTAAATATAATTATTTTAAATTTTCTTACAATATAATTATACTATATATACTATCAAAGAATATTGTATTCTTTGTTATTTTTCAATAACAATATTATATAACTTACTTCTTATGTATAATTTAATAATATGTAACTTTGTAAATTATTCTTTTATATTTTATATTTCGTTAAAATTTGTACGAATCAAAATTCAGTTAGGCGACTTTATATGGAGTCGCGATTCACAGTTTGAAAAGCCCTCCTTTAGTTACTAAAACTTTATCTACTTTATGTTCTAGAGAAATTATTTGGGGAAATATAGCGTTGGCAGCACTGATCAACTTGTCCAGAATAGTTTTTGTTGATATGCTTTCTTGTGCTGTTACAATTGGTCTCTCTTGTGCTTAATATTTTTTTAAAACATTATAGAGTAAATACGCATAGTAATTTATCTTTTACAGTTCCCGCGGATTTGATTAAGAAAGAAAGAAGTGGTATTTTACATGCAGTATTTCCATTTACTTTATAATATGTAATTTGTGTAATATATTTTATATCTCGTTGTGATATTACGTAGATACATTAACTAGTTTCTTAAACTTCAAGTATAATATAATTTTGTAGATTATAGTAGTGCAATTAAAAAAGTTTTATATTAGGTTATGTCGCTTTACTGACAGATTTGTTTTGCTAATATTATTAAGCGTATTATGTGTTAATAATTGAAAAATTATTCAATAATTGAAGAGGTTAAGGTAAGAAGAAAATAAATCTTACATATTATTTAATATGTACAATGTGTGTTTTAACAAATCAGGAAAATAAATTTCATTTATTTTGCAACTTTTCTTTTGTTTCAGAGATAGAGAAATTTTTGAGTAATGGATGTGGGAAATGATTGTATTATCGAAGAGGTTGTTCCTTTGAAAACAAAGAAAATGAAGCAAGGTATGCACAATGCGTAATTATTTAATACTTTGATCATTTATAAGATTCTATATTAATTTATTTGAAAATGTGCTACGATTCAAATGAATTTTCTCAATTTTATGTATTACAGCACGCTTATCATTTTCAAAACTTTCTCCTTCTAAACCTCTATTGGATAATGTATCTTCGAAAAAGAGGAAATTGGAATCTCCTAAGGAAAGTAAGACTGCTAAAATTTTTAAAGTCGCAGCTAAGGAAAACTCAGCGGAAGATATTAAAATAATTGATGTCTTAAATGAATCTAAGACTTCGAATAGTAGTAAAAATAATACAGAAATAACAGATATTGAAAATGAGGAAGAAGAGACTCCGGATAAATCTCAGCATCATGACAAAGATAAAAGTCGTAAATTTAAGTCAAAAAGATCATTGTTCTCTAAAACCAAAAAGAAAGAGTCTTGCTCTCCGAACACCTCATTAACCAAGTTTCTTATGAAGAAGATCACGAAAGATGATATTAATACAAGCATGGCTGATAATATGAAAGAAAAAATGGAACGGAGCTATATTTCTTCCGCTCAAAATTCTAATGAAAATTCTGATATAGATTCCAACGTAGTAGATGATGATGAATTGGAGATTATATTAAATGATACTGAAAAATTTAATAGTACTGACAAATCATTGTGCATTGATTCTGATTCTGAAATTGAGATTTCTTCGAGTGATGAAGATAATACAAAAGTTTCAGAGAAAAAAGAAACTGCAAATATTAATGTCATAGGCTCAAGTACGCCAATGCAAACAAGAAAGAAGATAGATATTACAAAAAATAAAAAAGTAACACCTAAACAATTGCAAAAGGAAAACAGTGCTAGGAAGCGTAAAGAAAGGGAACAATTACGACTGGTAATGTGTATAATCAGAATAATAATTTTATTTTATTTTTATGCATCACACAATCATATATATAATGTAATATTTTTTATATTCATGTTAATATCGTTGTTCAGGAGAAAGAAAGAAAACGTGAGGAGGAAAGAGAAAATCGGCGAAGGAAAAAGGAAGAAAAACGAAAAGAAAAAGAAGAAAAAGAAAGGGCAGAGCGTGAACAAAAGAAAAAAGAGAGAGAACAAAAGGAGCTTAAAAAACAATTGGAAATAGAGTAAGTAGAGTTAAAATCGTATTAAAATTTATAGATAATATAATTATAAAACTGTATCCTCTTTTTATTTTATTTTCGTAGACAAAAACAGAAAGAAAAAGAAGTAAAAGAACAAGAGCGTCGTAAGAAGGAAGAAGAGAGGAAAAGAAAAGAGGAAGAGAAATTGGAATACGAACGTAAGAAGCTAAAAGAAGCATCGACTTTTGTGAGTTTTTTCGTTCCTAAAAAACAAGAAATCAAAATCACGGAAGAGGAGAATAATACAGACGTACAGACTTTTATGCCCTTCGAAGTTAAAACAGATATGAGGGTTGCACCCATTTGTAGGGGGAGTCTAGATGAGAATAAAAAATTATCGCTAGACGATAAGCTTAAAAAGGGTCATACAGAAACAAGTAATTTGTATCTCGCCGAAATGAAAAATAAGAAGATTATTAGGCATAAATCTGAAAAAACTTGGCCGCTCAAATCAAAGAACGATATAATTACATTAGGTAAAAAATAAAATTACAACGACAATAATAATTATACATTATAATTAATTTGTAAAAAATATTTATTAGACGTTTAATATTTATGGCACAGATGAAGAAGAAAATGATTGTAACTCGGACGTAGTATTTCAACCCGAGACTGTTGTAGACAAAATTCGACCGAAATTATTACAATTTCATGAAAATCGCCGACCACCATATTGGGGAACTTGGAGGAAACAAAGCGATAGTATAAATTCTCGTCGACCATTTTCGAAAGATTCGGTGAGTAATTATCTTGATATTATCTTTAAAGTGTGTATACTTTTATTTTCTAACGCTTTCATTTCATAACGTATATATGAAACACGTAATAACATACACACGAGTATTTTGCACGAGGTATTATACTTATACTTTTCAAATCTCCACGGATTCTATTTCTTTTTTCTGTTGTTATAATTCTAAACAAAAATAATAATCTTTCGAATGAAAATTCACACTAAATCTCTGGTAATACGTTAGTTTTTCCACTACGAAATCCACGTCCATTTTGAAACAATGGATAAGTATGTTTTCTATGCACCTTACGATGTTTAGCTAAATGATCGCTACGTGCGAATCTTTTCGAGCACATTTCGCAAGGATAGGGTTTTACTCCTGAATGCGATCTTCTATGCCTCGCCAATTCGTCTGATCGGCTGAAACGCCATCCGCAACCCGACCATGTACAGGCGAACGGTTTTTCTCCAGTATGGCGTCGTAGATGAGCTTTTAAATGAGACGCTTTCGCGTAGACCTGTTTTAAAAAAAGTCAGATTATTCATATCAATCTGTATCTATCGTTTACTTTACAAATCTTCTTAAGTACATGTTCAATACCTTTAGACAACCTTGATAGGTACATGGAAAACATCTGTCTTCGACTGCATTAGTCAAATTACGATTAGTATAATCGTGAGTTGCCAATGCTGCAGTAGCTGCTGATGAAATAAGTAGATTCTCTTCTAATTGATTATTATTGTAATCTGTAACTATATAAAATGCAGTGATTTGATTTATGTGCTTTTTTCTTTTAAATTGCAAATTCAAGCAATTCTTTGAAATCATTTGTATTAGAATTTTCATTTACTTATTTCTTCCGATCCTAACGAATTTTCTAATGCCCTTAAATCGATACCAAGTACAAGCAAAGGCTCGTCATGATTGAATACTTGTTGCGGATTTGGCAAAGGCAAGTGTAAAAATCCTTCACATCCTGCTGTACAAAGTGGCGTTCTTTCTGGGAGACCTGAATTCCATGTTTTGTCCAAGCACCATTCCAATTCCGAATCTAATTCGCTCAATTCGCTCAAACAACCTGTTTTAATGAAATACACGAATTATTTTTAATTTTTCTTCGTTGATTATGAATAAACAAATTATTCAAATGTTTAAACATTGTATTTGAAGAAAATTGCACTTGTTGATGCTGTATTAATTAAAGTAAATAATTAGAAAATCCGATAAATATTTGTACCCGAGGAAGATGTAGATGCGCTTGTCATCCAATCGTTCCACGAATCTTTTGGAGAACACGTTAATTCGGTGTAACATTCCACAGGTGTTGTCAAAGGTATCGTTGCATGATTTTCGATGATCTCTGAATCATCGCTCGAAGGTGTTCTGCAGGAGGATTCGTATTCGGAAGGAAGATTTGGTATACAGGGTGACGGTAGTGGTCTATCGAAATTTGTATCCGTCGTTAATCCCAATGCAGAAAGTAATAACTCGTCTGCCATCTGAAAAATATTTAAGAAAAGAAACAAAATAGATTAATGAGTCGAAGAACAAAATAATAAACGTGAAAATGTATGAATCAAAGCGTTGCAAAATAAATAATACTGTAACAATCGCTTGTTGTGTTACACGCGTTACGTGTAGAAACATTAATTCATTCAGTGAACATTTTATATCGAATTAAAATTGAATATTATCTTACGAGGGTTATCGTAGGATAGAATAAAGCGAAAAAATTTCTCTATACGTTACGCTTACATCTTAAAACGCAACAAGTTAAATGTTTAGATTTGAATTTCGATACTTACATCGAACATCAAAGTATCTTCGATCATAACGACAAATCGATTTCAACAAGAGAAAGGAAGGAGATTATCGTGATGCTTTTCCTAATTCGAGGTAATCTTAATTTATAATACCAACAAGTTGTAATTTGTATTATCAACGACCAAAACCAATTTAAAAATAGCCCAATGATGATGATCATACATTTCGTAATTATAATAAAAATTGTTTTTTCGAAATGTGCGAATCAACGATATGCCGAGCACATGATCGACAACGCGCAATAACAATACGATCGATTAAATTACGAATAATTTAACGAGTAATATCAACCGGTTGTTAGAATCAATCTCGTGATTGTTGATCCGCATCAACTATGGGTTTGCTTAATTCGAGGTACGTGGAAATAAGAAAAACCGGTATCTTTTCGTAGTATATCCGATGTGTCACACATATGAATACGCGAGAATACGCTTATAAAACACATACATTAATTATTAATCTAGGTAAATGATCGATCTCTCATAGTAGCTTTCTCTCTCTCTCTCTCTCTTTCTCTCTCTTTCGCGTGTGTGTACCTTCGTGGTTGAGGATCGTTTTCAGACTGTTCGATCGACAGATCGAAGACGACGTTTAGGTTTTCTCTCGCGTTGTCATCGCACACGGCTCGAAAGATAATCGGCGCTGTGCCAGCCGGTGCCGTGTCACTGTCGTTTCTTCCCAAGGGATCGTGAAAGGCATTACCGATCTCCAGAACCGTACCGGGTCCAGATACATCTCTCCGCTCTTCGTTATTTTATTCCGTCATCGTTAGATTATTTACGAGTATCGTTTATGTTTGCTAATCGTTCTCTCGCGGCCATCAACTTTTGCGACACGCTTATATCGACTTATTCGTTACATGTATATGAGTATACGTGTGCGTTTGTATGTGTATTTGGCAAGGCATATTGACGTCAAAGAAATACATACCTTACTTGATAAAATCCAATTTTTATTATTCATCGTTTTTTTCTTTTTTTTTACTAACGCACTCGATATTAAGTCATATTTTTTTCTCTACCCCACCATGGGTTTCCTTTTCGAGAAAAAAAAAAAACATATGCCAAAATTAATCTCGTTATATTAGATCGCTAATATTTCTTCCCTTCTTTTTTTTTCTTTTACTTAATTAATTTTACATACACAATAATTTTTATTTTGTTATTTTATATTGAGTAATATATAAAGTGCACAGAAATGTAATAGATCATATATTACCTTGTAAAATAATATTTACTAAATATATTATGTGTGTAAAACCTAGTAAAAAGAAAAAAAAGTCAAGAGAAGCTTTGGGGACACCTAATATTTTAAAATAAATTATTTGACTATTTCTATGTGTCCTGTTATATCTGATATCACACTAATGAACTCTTTCACATTTTCAAATTGAAAAATCAAAAATATAGGATTCTCTGGATCTTCGAGAGTATTCGTTTATGTTCTTGATCGAGTAACAAGTTTCATTGTCAAGGATAATTATTACGCGTTCTAAGAAGTTTACGTTCTCTTTGTTGTATCTTCATCGACGATTGTTCGTCTGAAAGTAGCCAATGGCTTTGACCTAGAGCGACTAAGAGTGGGCTCGAGTCACGATAAAGTGTCAGCGAAGTCAGTGGCCACCATCAGGAGTTTAACTTACACGCTTCTACTATATTATTATCGGTGTCGAAGGAGACTGACCTTAGATACTACAAATGTATTTTTATTCTTTCGTATGAAGAAGAAACGAAATAAAAAAAAAAAAATAAAAAGAATAGGAGCACATACTATAGGTAGAATAATTAATTGATTAGAAAATTAATTATCAAGTTTTTTGTTTTTTTTTTTTCTTTAGAAAATCAATTCTCTGCTAATATGAATTTAATAAGTTCTGTAATTCTTTTTATTAGTTTTTTTCTTTCTTTCTTTTTTTTCCATTTTTTAACGATTAGTGCGTTGCGCTGGAAGAGAGAGTATCGATTGTTATCGTGGTCTCTCACCGAGTTATTGAAAACAGACCACAGCATCATATCACCGTCGTTTATCTTGCAAGATTGACAGCATCCGCGGTATATCTTTACCGGATAGCTCTGATCCATTGCACTTAAGCAATCTTTTACGGATTTTCTATCGTACGACAAAACTACGATACGAAGGGACAAATACAAACAAATAAAAAAAAGTAGAAAAAGATAGAGAGAGAGAGAGAGAGAGTGATACGGCAAAGGGGGAGCTAAACAATAATGTCAATCGATGCATCGGCACGCGTTTAATTTGCCGTAAGAAAATAATCGTCATTTTTTCGGATGATTTCAATTCACGAGTATTTACGCGGATCGTTTCGTCATCGGTAATTACGAGATAATACAATGGTTATTATTTATTTTTATCGCATATATTTTTTGCATTTCTGATTACGATGACTTGCGGCGGGACTCGGGTTTTTTTTTGTTCGGATGTACTTAATTTTTTAACGATTTTTCTGTTTTTCTTTTTTTCTGTCTTTTTTTTTTTTTTTTTTTTTTTGAAAGAAGAAACGTAACGCTCGGTAGCGGAGAGAGAGCATTGTTAATTATTATCCTGTTTTGCGGTGCGACTGGAAATTCGAGAGGTTACTCGTGGAGTAACGTTCTCGAGATAATTTTCTCTCTCTCTCTCTCTTTCAGGAAAACAAAAATTTTTCCATCCTGTACGAAGCGCCCTTGACTAGTGCAGTGCATTTCTAATGATCAAATACGATTATAACGTCCGCTTCCGAATTGTCTTTTTCTTTTTTTCCTTTTCCTCTCTCTATTGTATTTTTTTTTCCCCTGTGTAATATCTAAAGTATGCGATTAAATCGAATTCGCCATAACCTTTAGAAACAATCGTTGCAACTCGCCGATAAGCAAAACATTTCGCAAAACTTATGCTCGTCTAGATAAAATTAATTTATCTAATGACGTTTATTATAGAGAAATAATGCGTTCTCGTAGTACATTTATAGAGAAGGATCACGTTAAAACAATATAACAACATCGATAACGATAATGAAAGTAAAAGAGAAAGATGATATTGAATGTTCGTGATTTACGATCGATTACTTTATTTTATTTTTGTTTTTTTTTTTGTATAATATCTATATAATTCGAAGAAACGTTTTATTAATAATCTAATAATAATAATAATAATCCAGAAGTTTATTGATATCGCGTAATTATTTTTGTCAACAAAAATTTTCCTAACGTCGTTGTAATAATACTCTTGCATCGTAACAAGTAATTCTATTTTCTTTTATTTTCCATTTTATTAATATTTAAAATTCATAGTTAGAAAAAAAAAAGAAATTAGGGAAAATTTTGAAAAGAGACCAAATTCAAATGGGAGCCAAGACGAGCGTATTTACGATACGAACGTAATCAAATTTAAGGGAGGATTTGGGTATTCGGAAATAAATCAGTGTTACGATTGTTAGAAAGAGAGAAAGTTAATCGCCGGTGTGTGTGCACGTGTGAGAAGAAGAAGAAGAAGAAGAAGCAACGACCATAATCTTAATGGGGCATATAACAGCCATTACAGATGGCCCGCTGGGTGACAACACGCTGTAAATAACGAGACTCGTTCCTCCGGCAGGCACCGTCGAAACGTTTACGCGACGCGTTATTTCGATAAATGCATTTTCTTCTCTTCTCTTTTTATCTCCTTTTCTCTCGCTCTTTCTCTCTCCCTTCCTCCCTCTCATTTTCTTTTTCAGTTCTTTTTTTTTTTTCTTTTTTTTTTTTTTCTTTTTTCTGCGATTAGTCCCACTCCGAAAAACCGACCCCCTTCCACCGACATTCTACATATATACATGTATATTAATGTGTGCGTGTATACGTTAGCGTCTGTTTTGGATTTTTCACGGCATGAAAAAGAAAGAGAGAGAGAGAGAGAGAGGCGTCGAAGTTCACCAAAAAGCCACCGAGACTTTTTTTTACACTTTTTCTATTCTATTTTCTTTTTTTTTGTTCCAAAATAATTAATCATAGTTACATGTGTCGAAGTTCTGTTCGATGTTTCCCAAATTTCATGATAATAATAGGTACATTGTGCGATAAAGAAATGGATATATTTTGGAAAGTGTAGAAAAAAAAAAAGAAAAAGAAAAGATAAGCTTGACGTTTGTCATGGATTATTTTACGTGTGAAATAACGTATGGAAAAATTTTATAAGATAATTGAAAAAAGATTATTCGAAATCTTTGTAACACTACTTTGTGGTGGTTGTGTGGTGGGGTACTCTGCCATTTCATTTTTTATATCGTCGTGTTCGAATTAATTCAAGTCATCGTAATGAAATATAAAAATCTGTTGATTTTGACCATGAAATAAAATTTTCTTGTTTTTCCTTCTTTTTTTTTTTTTTCTTTTTTTTGTTCATAATTCTTTTTTCGTTATTACACGAGTAACATTCACCGTTTATAATTATCGTATTGCGTGCAAATAGTTATCGTGTTCGTAACTAACACTCGTGAGAGTGAGAAAACAAAGATATTTGCCCACACGTCGAGTTTTTCAGCGACTCGATGGCGCGCTCGTGTTCGACTATTCCTGTTTTAACGCATTGATGATAATAATAATAAATGTTATTTATTTTATATATATATGACAGATCGGCAGTTACGTACCTTAGTAGTATCGCTGCCAAAAGCTGCTACAAACTGTCTCTCTTTTTTTTTTTCTTTTCTTTTATATATTTATTTCAACTTGAAATTCTCTTTTTCGTTGATTTTTCTTTTCTTTTTTTTTCTTCGCGGCTAGGGGGTGGGAAAGGGAGAGAGGGGGTATTCTGTCCCGTCAAAAAGAATGCACTTGTGATTTCCGAAATGTGTCCGCTTCTTCTTTTCCTCTTAAACGGCGACGAATAATATCAACGAGTCGGTAGATTACGTTCCTTTCCAACAATAAATTAATGTCTCGAGAAGGTCTTGTAATTGATGCTCGCGTAGGGATGAAATCGACGTTGATTTATCGGACAAAGGTTCCCTTGCCGCGGTTGTAAAGAGAATGAGAGTGAGAGAGGGAGAGAGAGGGAGAGAATTTATTGACTTTTAGGCGAAGGAACGTTTCTCGCCAACGATCTCGATATATTCGACTCTTATTGTTTCTTATTAATCGAATCGATTCCTCTGTTCGACATTTTCTATTCTTGTATAGAACAAGTTGAAAATAGCTACGTTCTAAGCTACCAAGTTACGTAAGGAAAAGGATTATTACAATGATAATGATATCTAATAATGATGATTGTTATGATTACAAAACAAAAATATATATATTTATATATATTATTCTAATCACTTTACGTTTGTTATCAATCGCAAAGATTGAAACTTCCGATAATCGTCGTCGTCGTCGTCGTCTCTTTATAAGATATATTCGAAACGGAAAAAAAAATGTCTTCACAAGTTTTCTACATTTTGACAGACTTGTTGTCTGGTTCGCGCGGCGTTTTCTCTTCTGTTGTGTCCGTAAAGATGAGAAAACGAAAGCGTACTGGGGGCAACACGTGTCCGCTGTAATTGGTCGCAAAGGCTTGATATCGGTCGTCAAGGAAGTCGCTTTGATACGAACGTCCTGCTGCTTATTCATTGACTGTAATAACAGTGGGATTCCTCGATCGTGTATGAAAATAAGTTGACTGATTATTAGAATGGGATCTTATTTGTTTCTTTATGTTCCCTCTTTTTGTAATCCTTTTTCTTTATTTTCCAACTTTTATTCCTTTTCTTCTTCTTTCTTTTTTTTTATATTTTCGTTAACAAACAAACAAACAAAAAATTCTTAATCGTAATTTAGCGTGGCCTTCAAATTGTTCGTCCTGATCACGTGATTATTTCGATATATCCGACTATTTTTAGAAATTGTTCGATTACGAGGTTGATTCCGATGACGAGTGGGAAGAGGAAGAACCTGGCGAATCGCTTCATGGTTCGGAAGATGAGAAAGATGAAGAAAATCCGGATGACGATGAATACGATGTTGACAATGAGTTTATGGTACCGCACGGGTAAGCCGTTTGAAAAATAATTATGTTAATTTTCATTACGAGTAAAAGTGACAATGAAGAAACGAGCTCGTCAAACTTGTTGTTTCCTGTTACTCCCTTCGCCCCCTCCCCCTCCCACATAACCCTGCCATTCACGATACGATATCTATCGCATTCTTTCATAATCGCATCTTTGTACGTGTGTGCGTGTCTGTCTGTCTCTTACAGATATTTGTCCGACGAGGAAGCTCGACCTGACGAAGAGGAAGACATGAGTATGGTGAGTTATTTTACGAAGTATTTTTATCCTCATTCGTATTTATCCTCAACGATTATTATCTCTCGGATTGTGTTCAAAATGAAAGAAATATTTTTTTTCAGACACCGGAAACACAAAAGTTCAAATTAAAATTATTGGGTGAACAATTTGAAGCAGAAAGAACGGCGAAAATGTTGAAACTTAAGCCGAGAATAATCGGATGCATTTGGCTAGGACCAAATAATACGTATCCTGAAAATAGTGAGTACATATAAATCTTCGTTAAATAGAAAATATAGGAATTATGATAAAATTTCGTTTTTTCTTATATAATATATATATATATATATATATATTTTTTTTTTATTTCTTCAGCTCCTAAAAAGGTCGAAGAATTTTTAACGGCACGGCATGCCTGGGTATCGCAAATACCGGTAGTACTTCCATCGTCTACGAACGAAAATACGGAAACCGATGGTACGTCATCGCGTGCACAGATATCAGGAAGTACGAAGAAAACAAAGGTACCGACAGAAGCGTTGCCCGATTTAATTCGTTTGATTCATGGTAATACCCATGGGAAAAAGTTTCTCGTCAAAGAATTTCTTACGTTTTGGAATAAAAATGCGGCGAGTAAGGACAATCAAATATCTAAAGTTAGTTTAGTGAAAAAGATTGGTGAAATTGGAAAGTGGATGTCCTGTCCCGATGAAGGACAAATGCATTTGAAAGCATGTTGGTACGTTTCGGAAGATCTTAGAAAAAAATTTTTAGGCCAGGACGAGGAATTAATTTTACCGAATCGTTGGAAATATAATTTAACGCCTAAACGTAAAAGTGAAATAAATTCGGACGGTAACGATAAAACAGAGAAATCGGAAAAAGATACCGATAAGGATAAGAAAAAGGTTCCTCTAATTACTCAATTTACTAAAAAAATTACTCAGGAAGAGATGCAACGTCAACTGGCAACGGAATCGAATCAAGTTGAAAAGTCTAAACCGATATTGCTAAGACCACCGAAACGAGCCGTTTTAATTTCTATTTCTAAAAATGATAAAAAATTACCTGTAAGTAAGAAACCTAATGAAGATAGTAAGGACAATTGATAAAAAGTGTATATAAACGCTGAGTTAATTATTCCTATGTTTATGCGGTACACTATACATGCATAATCTTCCTATATACGTTGTAAAAAAAAAAAAAAAAAACAAAAGATAATGATCGTCATGTAATATAGTAGACTAAATACGCAATTTTTTGTCTTATCGCACAAATAATTCGAGGTTACATCGTTCGAAAGTTTATTTTTCATAATGAAATATGTTAGCGTTGACATAATATCATAATATCGTTTATAAATATCACGATTTTATCTATCGTTAGTACATATAATAATGTCTATTTTTTAACAAACGTTCATTACCACTGTTCTGCCTTTTGAAAAAAACAAAAGAAAAAAAAACAAATTCGTATTTAGATTACTATTCCTATCAATAAGAAAGAATTTTATAGATTTGAGAAATTATATATTTTTCGATACAAATATATTTATTCTCTAGAATGAAATAGCAAGTAATAATAAAGAGTTTATGTTAAATTTTTGTGATATTTCATAATCCATTTGAAATTATTAATGTCCAATAAAAAAGAAAACGCAAGCAAAATAAAGATTACTATTTTATCACATTAGTATATGTTCCGGTAGCGATATTTTATAGATATACGTCTTAAGTAAGTTGTTAAATTAATAATAATATTAATAGTAATAATAATAATAGTAGAGTAATAGTTATATGTATTTTATAGTACATTATTCATAGACCGATCGCATGGGGAATATTCGCCATATTTGATAGTCATACATTCCTTTAGATTTTGTAGACATAAATATATAGATACATATATTCATAACCTTATTACTTTTTATTAGTATATTCCAATCATTCATATATAAATATTGTTTAAAAAGTGATTCAACAACAGCTAGCCGATCGATACACTTCAAAATATCTACAAGTCATATTTTAATAAAAACACACATTGTAAACTTAATAAAATTTATTATTAATTTTGTATCAATATTGATTTTACTTGTAAAAATTGTCTACGTTACATATTTACATGTAGACATTTACGCCGCACGCGTTGGCTAGAATGCAGTTATAATTGTTATTAATCTCAATCGAATAGTCGTAATTCTATGGATATAAATACGAGATGAAATACTTACACATGGAAAAAAGATACTTTCTCGCGTTAGCGATAATGAATTTTCTGGTAATAAAATGATAAAATAGCATATTTCTCTCTCTCTCTCTCTCTCTCATTGCATTGTAACAGCGCACACAGCGTAGGTATCTCGTTTCGTGAACGTTTAAATACCATCGAGTAACGTGGCTTTAGCGTAGAACTCGTCGGAAAAAAAGAGAGAATTAAATAAAAAAAGAAAAAATAGAAAGAAAGAAAGGAGAAAGACACGCGCGAGCAATTTGAAGCGTAACTCCGCAATTCTGTGATATCGAAAATTTTAATAGGGGGTGAGAGGAAGGAAAATGGAAATAAAAAAAACAAGACGAAGAAGAATGATCCAGAGGTAAGCTTTACATTCGGCAGTTTGGATTTGTGGTTGTTGGTAGGGTGTACCGATCCGTAGCATATGGTTGGAATGAACGAAAGGGCAACCCTCGAGATCGTGGTAATTATCGAATCACGCCCGAGATCCGACGAAATGTCCAGAGAACCATGGAAAACTCTCTCTTTTTATTTAATTTCATTTTTCATAATTTTTCTTTGCTTTTTTTTTTTAAGTACTACGACGAAAGAACTACGCGAACATTTTCTTTCCCTTCTCTTTTCTTTCTTGTCGTAATAAATACTTTGTACGAAAAAAAGAGAGAGAAATAAAAATGATTATAGATGCAAAAATAATAATATACCATGCAAATTTTCGATATCAAATTAAATCGGTATAACCGTACGCTATTCTCTATTGGTTCTATTACTCGTACTAATATTATTTCCATTGAATTTAATTTCTCTCCTCTTACGCACTTTTTTTTTTTTGTTCTTTTCATCTAATTTATGGTTATCGTTAATAATTAAATTTTGTTGAACATAAAAATTTATATTTGCAGATATTATATTACAACGAGTTATTTTAAATCAAATCTATTTTATAATGAAATAATAATAATAATAATAATAATAATAAATGAACAATCGAGTATAAAAAATGTGTCATAATAATATATCGATAACGAATAAGAGAAAGAAAATCATAAATCATGAAAAATCAACGAATTTTCTCGTTCCCTCGATCCATCCATCGGTTCTCGTGTATGCGTTGGTGAGGTTTGCAACGAGAAGTCTCGTGGTTTCGTTCGCGTATCCAATTTTCTATGGCCGTAAGTTATCGGTCGAAACCTCTCCCGAGGATACGCATCGCGGATTCGGAAGAAAGGCGGCGGTGATCGTGTTTTTTTATTCTCTCATTTCTCTCTCTTTCTCTCTTTCTCTCTCTCTCTCTCTCTCTCTCTTCTCTATCTCTACTTCTTTACCTTGGCTCATTTTGGTATGCGATCGTAGAATAGAGAAAAAGAGAGGAAAAAGGGGGTGGACCGAGAGAACGCGTGGCAAGACGAGGAAAGGGAAAGAGAGAGAGAGAGAGAGAGAAAAAAAAGGGAAGAAGCAAAAAGGAAAGAGTGAGAGAAGAGAAAGAAGAGAAGTGGAGTAGAAGAGTATAAGGTGTATGCCTAGAAGGTATAGAGAGAAAATGGTAGCCAATGGCGTTGGCTCTGCGTTGTTGCTACAGTATTGAACGTCTCCTACGTGGGGTCCAGATATATATATATATATATATGTCTATATATATATATATACATATCTCTTTTCTCTCTCTTTCTCACTCCTACTAGCTCTCCTTTTTACCCCTCTCTCGCCCTCTCGAGAGAACCGTCCTTTCCTCTTGGTCGTTCTCTCGTCCTCTCCACCTCTTACCCTCTCTAACTTTCTCTCTCTCTCTCTCTCTTTCTCTTTGGTCCTCTCCCCGAGTTTCTCCTCTTTCCCTTCCTGGCTGCCTCTCGTGACCCGACGATGTCCTCCCTCCACCATCGTCGTAGGGTGGAGACCCTCCCTTGTCCACCCGCCCTCTTCACCTCTTCTTCCACCACCTCCACCACCTCCTCCACCTTTTGCTGGTGCTGCTCCTTCATTTCTCTCTTTCTCTCTCTCTCTCTCTCGTAAGCTTACAGGGTGGAGGTGGGAGGCAGGCCGTCGGAAACCTCTCTCTCCATCAGAGACGATCCGTGAGTCTGCTGCCGAGATCCAGAGTGGTATGAGGTGACCGCCTCTATCCTCTCATTAATATCCAGAGACACGACCTTAGGAGGTCTCCCTGCAGTCGGTGTTCGTACACAACTCGGCTCGAAGCACTACCCATAGGCTGTTGCACGTTCGCCGTTTTGATCGACGGAATGTTTCGACCTATGTTATACGGTAGCCAGCCCGAAGATTCAACCACGTAAAATGACGATACAATTGAGCGCCGATAATATCTCTCTGTCGAATATGATCAATTATTATTATCTAGAGGGAATAATAATATATAATAATAATATTATATAACGATTAAAAATAGTTTTAATCATTTATTATTAACTACTCTCGATAATATATATATATATATTAACTTTATCGAATAATAACTATATGATACATTGATTAATATTAAAGATGAAATTTAAATATTACATATGTAATAATAAATGTGAATACTCTTATTATATATTTCTATGAATTATTATAGCCTAATTATAATATCGAATAGATATTAATAATATGATTGGATATATTAATAATAAATCTAATATCACGTTAATACGTATTTAATCGTATTTAACGATTATCTATTTGTTATATAAATTGTCGTATATGTATAATTGTAGAAGGTAGATCGTACTTTGTATTATTTAAAAAAGCAAAAAAAAAAAGAAAAGATTGGCAAAATATTTTCTTCATGTTTTTTATTGCTCGATACGTGTGCTTAAATATTTCGTGTGGTAACGAAACGAAACAACCGCTTTACCGAAGGTCATACACGTCTCGGACATTCAGGGAGGGCTGAAAAATGGTGGACGATCGAAAGATCGAGAGGGCCAAAGGAGGCAGATACTTAATTGAATACTCGAGCCACGATCGATGCACGATGTCAGAAGGCAATGGCACACTACGATCGTTCCGCTGCCGATCGCCGCATTACGAACCTTTTACCGTCGATTATTACGCTGCGAGCTCGAAATCCACAGTCTGTCTGTCCGTCCGTCCGTCCGTTCGTCCGTCCTGTCCCTTCTTCACTCCTCGTCTCTCTCTTTCACTCACTCCCTCTCTCCCCTTTTTGCTTTCGATAAGTATATACCTCTGTTTTCTCCCTATCTCGTAAACCGCACGAAAGGTGGACACGAACTTTGTACTTTGCCGTTTCTCATCAAAGAAAATGAAGATCGATATCGTTCCTGTCGTTTTAATGATCTCCTTTATTGCTACGTACCGATCGAACTTATAAATAATTGGACGTTTTCGTAAAAATACAAAGTATTCATTTTGAAAATAATTTACATTCTTAATGTTACTCCTCTAATGCACACTTGTGTTATATAATAATATATTCACGACCATATGTGTGTGTGTGTGTGTGTGTGTGTGTGTGTGTGTGCACGTTTGTATACAAATTTTTTCATTTGTAAGAAAATATTTATTTTGAATTTTTTCTACATAAATTTATTTACAAATATTTCTCGTTGAAATATTCACATATTTAGATATGATATTTGTGTTATAAAACGTTGATTAATGTTTTCTCCTCTAACGTATTAATTAGTCACGTTTAAATACTAATTCCCGTCAGATAACTGAAGTCAAGCACAGCGATGGGCATGGTTTAGTACATGGATGATAACTCGTTCGTAAAAATAAAAATCGTATGTTTTCGATGTCAGAGAGACAGTAAAAGAAGACGGAGGATTTCTTTGTAAAAATGTTCGATGGGTGTGATGAGAAAGTGGTTAGTGGAAAAGTGATTGGAGAATCCGTAAAAGGGAAAAGTAATGAAAAAGAATAATTGACGAATGATAAATGTTTTCTCGTAGAATACGTTTTTGAGTGTTTTATCGATAAATATTATCTTCGTTAAAATGAATTGGGGATGTTACGTGTGACAACAGGGATTCTTGGAAAGATATCTTTCCTTTCACATTTTCCCTCATCTTCTTAGGTAGTGAAAAAATAAAACAAAAAAATAAAAAAACAAAAACAAAAGAATGAGATTCTTTTTCTTTGAAATAAAATGAAAGTAGGGGAGTGGGGGAGAGGTCCGTAAAGTCTCCACGCGTACTGCAGCTGCTGGATCTTATGCTAATCCCACCCCCGCGGGCTACCCCCGGCA